AATTTAAAGTGCACTATTTCTGGCAGTCTGCAAAGGCCCTTAGTTACACATCCATAACTAAGCAGGTGAGGTAGGATAATGGTGCATGCCTTAGTCATTATTTCTTTCTTTATTATTATTTCTTAAATTATTATATTTAAAACTCACTTAAATACAAAAGACCTCAAACACCACCTCTAAAGAAAATATTTATTTATTCATTTATTATGCTGTCTTTCTCCCAAAATGGGGAAATGAGTGCAAACAAGATGTGAGTAATGTTTAAGTGTAACAATTAAGCATTGCCCACTGCATCAAAAAAGTACAGAACACAAATGGGAGAGGTAACACGTTAGGTTGGGGTAACATAGGCTGCATCTGCACTGAAGAAATAATGCAGTTTGACACCGCTTTAACTGCCATGGCTCACTGCTATGGAATCCTAGGACTGTGACACTAGAGCTCTCTGTCAGAAAAGGCTAAATGTTTCATGAAACCACAAATCTCTGAATTCCATAGCACTGAGCCATGACAGTTAAAGCAGTGTCAAACTGCATTATTTTTACACACAGATCTAGCCAGAATTACTCGAAATGCATTATTTCTAAACTCTGGGAGGTGTAGTCCAACCCATGGAGGGTGCTAAGCTGGGGAGGGCTCTTGTATACTTTTAAGCCAGGCCTGCAAGGCAGATAAAAGAATGGTTCCTTTTTCTAAGCATGGCTGTGCTGACACATGAACACAGAAGGATTAATGCTCCAGAGTAGTGTTTCTGAGCTATCTGTAGGGAACTGGCATTTTTTTACCCATTTGCCAGGAAACAGACCCATATTTCTGCCCATTGGTTAACAGTAGTTTTTTCCCCCCCTCTCCCGAAACTTACCAGTGACCAGAAACTAATGGCTAATGGACCAGCACTGGTCCATTGACCACCACTTTGAGTAGCACTGCTCTGCAATACATACAACACTCTCATTGTAGGAGCACATGGCAATGGAAGTCCATGAGTGATCTATTCTTCATGGGAAACCTCCATCCTAGGTCTAGATATCTCACTGTAGCTCCCATTCTGATATTTAATAAATTTTCAAGAATCCACCATGTTTTGACCATATGGGTTCAAATGACAAGAAAAGAGATTCCACCTAAACTTTGGGATGCTTTTACTGTAAGCTCTGCTTGACAGTGCAATGGACTGCTTCAGAGAAAGGCGGACTCTCCCTTGGAAGGTTTTAAACAGAAGTTGGACAGCGATCTATCAGAAACGCTTAAGTGGTGGATTGCTGCATGGCAGGGGTTAGGACTAAATAGCCCTTGTGATCTCTTTCAATGATTCTATAATTTGAGCAACTCCTTCAGCCTTGTTTCATTTACCCTTCAAATCTACTGCCAGTTCTTCCTACACACATTTGCTTATGTTTTTCCTCATGTTACATGTTTGGATTTGTTGTTCTTTTTGAAAGGTACATATGCCTACCCTAAAATACTCGGTCCTTTAGGAATAGGAAAGGATAGGAAACAAATGTAAAAGTGAAATCATAAATTTAAAAAAAGGGGGAGACCCTGGCTGCCTAACCAAGCCACAGTGTCCTTACAGAAGGGCTGTTGTAGTTCTGTATAGCTTATCATGAGAGCCAGCGTGGCATAGTGGTTTGATGCTGACTACGACTCTGGAGACCAGGGTTCGATTCCCAGCTTGGCCATGAAACCCACTAGGTGACCTTTTGGCAGGTCACATGCTCTCAGCCTCAGGGGAAGGCAATGGCAAACCTCC